ACATCAATAGAACAGCGCGCCAGTTAGCCCTGTGCGAGGATTCTTAATTTAGGTCACCGACACCGTCGTTTGTTTTCTGCCTTAATTTAATCATAATTATCTTTAGAAAGTATTAAATTTGGCATCTTAGAAAAGAAATACACTTCGCCCTACCACCATTATAGTGTAATAAAACACACTTTCGCGTCCTCGTGCTTTAACTATAATAGTTCAGGGCAAAAGTGTGTTTTATTACACTATACATGGTGGTAGATTTTAATGTATTTTATAAGTACAGGCAGGAATTGCCTCATGTTACATACCGTGTCGTACCATGTTTTGAGTATGTGTTTTTTTCAGCATTACAGAGAGTAAGCGGCACCTGTAAGCATAGTCTTGCAGAAGCTTCCGTGGCAACGGGACACAAAATGTTTGAAATATCCAGATTTCACGTAAGTTGTCAAAGTACTAAAATTCTACCCTAGAATGTAATGCACTTTCAGAACCTTCATAAATGTGATCATAACTTTTGAAATAAAGCTCGTAACTTGTCAAGCGGACCATCGTCTGCTAGAGTGAAAAGCCAAGCATAAACATCACGTGACTCTAATGGAATGTTGCCGACATAATAAAAAAAACTAAGGAAGACCGAATTGGTACCGGTCATCTCTTACATATTTTTTTCGTGGTGCAGAATTCGTCTCGGCTTGTGACCACTGGGTTCATTTAAAATACTGCTGCGATGTCACTGTACTGCGCAGACAAGACGTGTTTTATCATGTTTATTGTCCCTGCCATGGCGTGCCAAGAATGAATGTGCACATGATTGAATAACTTACCTGTAAATATGTTTATTTTTAACAATTTTCACCAAAAATTACTCAAATAATCAAGAAAAAAATGACCAGTTCACTTGACTTTTCATTAAAATGCCAGGTTGTATTTGTTGACTTCTTGGGAGAAGAATGCATCACCTGGGCTTCCATACAAGGTCGTGACCCTGCGCTATAACGAGTAACCCGAAAACATGGTACGTCACTTCTTGCGTTCGCGCTGGCGGACAGACACAAAATGTTCGCTGCACACGATCTGCTTATCCTTATTGTGAATTTATAACATGACTGTAATATATAGACATTTTGTAGATTGCCAACGTCGATTTAGTATAATTTCACACACAGACCGCCCAAAGTGCGACCTAGTGTGTGTTGTCTGTCTCACTACACTTCCGCAAAAAAAAAGATTCTGTATTATGCTACAACAAATGAATAAAAACAAAATGCAAATGCAAATATTAAAACAGACAACAATGTCAGGCTCTCCTTCCTTGTTCCAGGAATGTAGCCATCAATATCCACATAAAGGAATGGCATGCCATTCACCTTCAGCTGACAAAGAATCCTTGTAACAGAAGTCTTGTAACAGTCTAATATGAGAAAAAGTGATATCTCGTTGCAGATTTTTCATATTGGTGTAGCGTCTGATTGGTCACCCAAGATAGCACACCTGGCAACTAATTGCATGATGTCCACCATTCTTTAAAAAAGTAATTTAGTTAGCCAATAATGAACAATCAATCAATGTATTGGCGGTTAATCCTTTGAAGGAAGGATGTTATTTCTACAGAGGCACTTTACGACAGGGTGTATTCAGTATAGATGAGTAAATCTACATACACAAACACTACCTTTTGACAAATCCGCTGTGCATGATAAAGGCCATTAATCAATCAGCGAGTTATCGGTTAAACCTTTGATTGATGTTTGTTTTTGTAACTCAGCTGATAATCCCTTTTGCTGCACTTCCATGCGCATATTACATAAGATGTTAAACAGTTGCCACATCAGACTTCGTTCTATAATGTTGTGTATTTACTCCAGACACGAGAAATGCCAAATGGGAACCATTGTCGGGTAATCTGAGGGTGTGACCACTAATTATACCTGTTATAAATTCATCAACTGACCATCAAGTGAATGATGACAAATAATGTGTAGGTTTACCACCAAACATGGGTTACAGAAAGGGAGTAGTAATCGCTGGATTGCATGCAATTTTGATTGCCTGACAAAAAACATATAGGCTGACACTGTCCTGAGGATACGAACCGAACTGCATTGTTGCGTAAGAAATACATATACACATTTTTGCTGTACATACCTATTTACCTAAGCAAATTTTCAGATTTTTCTAGCAATGGCAAGGTGGGGTTGTTTAGTTTATGGACTCAAATACATCAAATGTGTGTTTTTAATATCATAGCATGAGTAATAAACATCATTTGTTTACATGACATGATTGAATATCGAGGTAAAAAGCACAGAATTAGGATCAAATTGGATCAGTCATTATACCATCCAGGCATTAGAAAATCTGAAAATGTTTACACTGCTGGGATTCTTTATTAGTCTGACAAGAACTACCGGGGATATTTTCAAATAACGGGCGTCCACCCTTCCTAATGTCCCACTGTTTAGGTTGAAGAAATTCTGCAATGGTGGACGGTAGCCCAGTCCTAGCGTCCGTCTCGGTCGAGTGAGCAGGTAGTGATCAGCCTGCAGCTTGGTTTCGTAATTAGACTGTTGGCGGGAAACATAATCGCTCTGGATCATTGGCCCTTTAAGTTTAATGTTACACTTTTTAACAGTCCCAAATACCAGTTTGGTGAAATAAATGTTTGACGTAGCCAAAATTACTAGAATGCTTACACAAAAACAATCTCATCTCATATCACGCACTCCTCTCCGATCACTCTGCTCCGCTCCCCTCCACTCAATCCGCTCCACCCACTCAACTCCAGTCACTCCACTCACTACACCCACTCCCCTCTCCACTTCACAAAGTCACTTGGCTCCAGTCATTCCACCCTCTTCCCTCGCTTGACACCCTCCACTCCAAACGCTCCACCCTCTCTGCTCCAGTCACTCCACCCACACCACTCCACTCAATACACTAGGGGTGGGTATTGCAGGGAATTTCGTACTGCGATATATCGTGATGCAAAAGCATGTATTGTGATATGTATTACAATATATTGCAAGAATTATTTTTAACAAAAACCCTACTTATAATCGAAGTTAATGCTTGATTTGTAAAGCAAAACCACAACAAAATCACAATGCTTGATTAGGCTTTATAAAAACTTTTAATGATGGCAAAATATAAATGTAAATAATCTTTGGCACAAATGGAAATATCCGAAGATTTTCGAGTGTTACGAAGTTTTCCGAATGCATGTCAAAATACCGGTTTTCGATCAGCGTATCGCAATACATATCGTTTTCATGTCTGAATCGGTAAATACCGGTAAACCAGTTATATTGCACAGCCCTACAATACACCCACTTCATTCTTCCTCCCCTCTCCACTTCACTAAGTCATACCTCTCCGCTCACTTCACCATCTTCCTTTGCTTGACTCACCCTGCTCCAATTGCTCCACCCACTCTGCTCCACTCCTGACATCATCTCTCTCTCGCTCCACTCATTCCACTACTCTCACTACACCATCTTCCCTTGCTTGACTCACCCTGCTCCAATCGGCTCCACCCACTCTGCTCCACTCACGACATCATCTTCTCTCGCTCCACTCATTCCACTACTCTCACTACACCATCTTCCCTCGCCGACTCACTCACTCTGCTCCCACTCACTCCACCTTATCCACTCCACTCACTTCACCATCTTCCCCCTTGACTCCACTCCTGCTCCAATCGCTCCACCCACTCTGCTCCACTCACGACATCATCTTCTCTCGCTCCACTCATTCCACTACTCTCACTACATCCTCTTCCCTTGCTTGACTCACTTGGCTCCAATCGCTCCACCCACTCTGCTCTACTCACTACACCATCTTTTCTCGCTCGACTCACTCCACCCACTCAAATCCAGTCACTCCATTCTCTTCCCTCGCTCGACTCACTCACTCAACTCCTGTCTCTCCATATACTCCACTCTACTCACTACACCGCCTTCCCTCAGCTTGATTCACTACCACCGACACGACTCCACTCACTCCACCCACTCTGCTTCTCTCACTACACCATCCTCTCTCGCTCGAATCACTTGGCTCTGATTGGTCAGTCCAAAAGGTTAGCTGACGCGACCTTCTACTAGGTTTTGTTACACTCAGTATAGCAGTGTAACAAATAATACTGAGCCTAAGTTCACTTAGACTGCCAACAAATCCATCAGCTTTCCCTCACCTCTACACAACTCAAACAAATCATCCTCATTCTCCTTACAGCCATAGCTAAGCAGGTCAAATACACAAGACTGAAATCAAGCGACAAGCAAAAATACAACTCACCAACCGTGCGAGTAAAAGTTGTGGCAGTCGTAGTAACCCACTACCTTATTTGGAACATTCGACACGTGCGTCCAGAATTGACCAATCAAAGAAAAGGAACATCATCAGGATTTCCCCTTGATTACTAACGACTGGGTTGATGTTTTGGGACATTACTAAAATTCGTGTTTAAACTATCAGATGAAGTTTTAAAATAAACTTTTGCCACGAAAATGACTTCTAATTTCGTCTAAAATGTCTCCAAACGAAGATCAGCCCGCTCTCGCATGCTTCTCTTATACACATAATGAGTGAGTGAGTATGGTTTTAGGCCGCTTTTAGCAATATCACGGCGGGGGCACCAGAAATGGCTTCACAAGATGTAATTATGTGGGGAATCGAACCCGGGTCTACAGCGTGATGAGCGGACGCTGTAACCATTAGGCTACCCTCCGCTGCGCGCGTGGCTTACTGCCGAGGCATTATAAACATGTGCCTTGGGCGCCTGCAAGCGCAAAGCTGTCTGTCTACTTACCAAGGCAGGGACCCGTAAAGTGCAGGTGTCCCAAACTCCTGAAAATATACGCCCCCTCATAACCTGATAACTCGTTATCTTACGGCGGCCATGGTGGGAAAAACTTTTGACCCTTGTCCGTAAATTTAGAAAAGACAGTGAACGAGTAGATGTTATTGGATGCTCTACCTACGAATTGTAAGCTGTTGCATTTACTTACGTTCGAGTGCCACCGCTATGTGACCTCTCGGCTTCGGGTTGAAACTCGAATATATACAGATTTCCGTTGCGAGCGCGGCTGTAGCTATTTTAGAAGAGACTGGTTTCCTGCTTCTCTCCTCAACGACCTGGTACCTTGGCGGCTCCCTAATAGTTAGCGAAGGCAGTGTAGCATCAGCGCAGAATACCCAGGGAACCAGGCTAACACCTCAACAGAGGCCCGGGGCCAGTCTGTTTTCACCGTGACCCTCAAAATATATGGTTCAGAGATCACTTATCACCAAATCAATAATATGATGTTAACCACGCATAATATAGATTTAAAAGTTAACATATATATTATATTTATTATTATTGTTATGAATATATCCTGTATTTATACGTGTCTTTATATTGTTATATTTGGTTATTAGGAATTTATTTTTATCGAGTACATATAAATTCAGTCTTTCAATCACTGATCCAATATTGGCCCGTTCAAGTTGAAGACATTCAATACACTAATTGGAACCCAATCAGCCACCTAACCTCAGGTCTCAAGTCTTTACGCAACATTATGTCTCACCTTATGTATAAAATCAATTCATCAGTTTTCGCCGGGGTTTGTTATTAGCAAATCATCGTAATGATGAAATGCATGTCACCATTTTAGAAATATTTCAGCAATATCACCATAGATAACACCAGAAACGGGCTTCACACATTGTACCCATGTAAGGAATCGAACCCGGGTCCTCGGCACGACGAGCGAACGTTTTAACCACTAGGCTACGCCACCGGTCCGGAACGGTTGTTGAAACTGAGGATATCTAACCACGATGTTCTCTGTTTGAGCGTAAAAAATGCCAAAACACACAACAAAACATAGACTAATCTCAGTATAACTTTGGGGCGGTGGGGTAGTCTTGTGGTTAAAGCGTTGGCTCGTCGCGCCGAACACCCGGGTTCGAATCCCCACATGGGTACAATGAGTGAAGCCCATTTCTGGTGTTCCCCATTTCTGGTGTCCCCCGCCGTGATATTGCTGGAATATTGCTAAAAGCGGCGTAAAACCAAACTCAGTCAGTCAGTCAGTAGTGTAACTTTGTTTTAATATTGAATTGCGTGACAAAACAATTTACTTTGAAATGTTGGGTTTTTATATTATGATCACCCTCTTTTGGTGTTCGAAAACACGATCCGTGAAGATGTTGTTATAACCTGATCTTCAGAAACCCATGCTTGTGGTAACAAGCGATTAACGGGATCGGATGCTCGCTGACGTGGTTAATGCATATAATCGTATCCCAGTTGCATAGATCGATGCTAGTGACTGGCGTGTCTGGTCCAGGATCAATTATCTACAGACTGTCATCTTTTATTTGGAAAATTGCTGGGAGCGGCGTTACACACAGGACAACCAAACTGTCTTAGCTTGGAGTAGGTTGTCAAACTTAGGTTGGACATTTGGTGTTATAACATAATTCAGTATATACTCGGCGTCATTAATGAAGGGTCAAATGTTTGAAATATGTACAACTGAACGCTTTACAAACTTTCTTAACAGTGTTGTAAAACACATGGAGCCGTTGAAATGTCATTCTTTAACGTTCGATACATTCTGTTACAAATGGCACATTGTTTTATTCAAATAGTCAAGATGGAAATCCATCTGCCACTTAATGTCAGTGATTTGCACGTGCAAGTCGCTCCATCCATGGAAATTTGAGGACAATACACATGCATTCATGCTTTTTCATAGTCGTTCACTGATCAGGTACCTGTTTGAAATCGCAGCTAAAAATGAGACTTGCTGAAAGGGGTGAGACTATAGGCCTTTTGGAATCTGGTCAAACGGAGCGGCAGGTTGCTGTCCGCTTTAATGTGAGTCAGTGTGCTCTTGATAGACTGTGGCAGAGATTTCAAGCCAATGGGTCCCTGCACGTTGACCAGGTCGCCCTAGAGTCGCAACAGTCCGAGATGATAGGCACTGCGTTACATAACAGATTCCTTAACGCAGCAGATCTTCAGACAGAGCACTTCAGTGTTAACAATGTAACCTGCAGTTCGTCCACCACTTACACAACTAATTAACGTCACTGGTCTCGTGACCTCTTCACATATGAAAGCAGATTCAATTTGTCCTTCTATGATGGTCGGCAGAGTATTTATCGTCGAAATGGACAGCGAATCATAGATGCAACTGTGACCACGCATAACCGCTTTGGCGGGGGGTCGGTCATAGTTTGGGCAGGGATAACGCCTACTGGACGTACTCCACTGCACATGGTCGACGGTAATCTTACAGGACAGAGTTATCGGGACGAGATTCTGGCTTCAATAGCAGTATCATTACGGCAAGCTACGCATGGTTATTGAGGTCGATCCTCTTTACTGCAAGAACGCTAGGCCTCATAGGGCCAGGATTGTCACGGAATTCCTTAGGCAGCAGGGTGTAGAGCGGTTGGAGTGGAGTGTTCGCCAGACCTCAACCCAATTGAGCATGCCTTTGATGCTCCCACAACGCCACATATAGCTCTATAGTTTGGCATAAAATGAATGTGGACCCGGTTTTTTGTAAATATATCTTCATCTAATTATCCAATCGATCTCAAACTGTGCAAGTGGATGTTTTGTCAGACAACCTAATCACAATGTAAATCACCGATTTTATGCATTTGTATGAAAGAATCTGTCTATGTAACTGTCAACAAAATAAACAGCAGAACGCAGACTGCTTGCAGAGGGAGGGAGCCAATGACCTGTTACAGCGGCAGTGTTGGGTCATAAAGGTAAATAGTTCATGATAGTTACCTGTGCACTGCACAGTGATAGACCGTTTGGATCATTCACATTGACGACTTCTAGCTGTCATCATGAACGCTTATTCAGATGATGCTAAACGTTTAATTAGAAATGTGTTTAATTTTTTTTAAAAGAGAGCAAACGTAGCAAACCGATTTATAAGGTGTCGGATTACATGAAACGCACAACTTTTGCTCTTGGCATGACATTATGATGATTCTTTTACTTCTATTACTTCTGAGAAACCTTTCATTACATGTGCTATATATATGTGCGCCTAGTGGCTGCAAGAGTTGTATCTCCCCAGGGAGTTGAGATTGATAATACAATGTGCCGTTGAGACTGACATCCAATCATCGAGGGAAGAAATACCAGCGCTTTGAGCATGCACAAGTTGCCTGGATATGTGCGCTATATAAATATCCTACAATAACATTGAACAATAATCTGACAAACCTACGCACGAAGTTGAACATATACAACGTTAACAAAATATCAAGCTCAAGAAATGTAAAACAATAATCATAAACCATACAAAAGAAGTTACGTTTGATTTAAAGCAAAAAGTAGCTGTAGATGTAGGCAGTCAAACTGCATCTGTTTATAGTTTGTACAGCTATCTCTCATTGAGTCTTTGTATATATTTTCCCAGTGATACACATTAAGGGGTATATCTACGGAACACAACGTTTCAGAGAATTTCTTATTAATGAAGAAGTATACACTCTTCACCCGATGAAGGGGTAAGCATATTCTTCACTTGATGAAGGAGTAAGTATATTCATCACCCAATGAATGTGTAATTGTATGTATTCTTCACCTGGTAAAGGTGTAATTATATTCTTCACCTGATGAAGCAGTTAGAGGACAGCTGTTCACGTAATGAAGGTGTAAGAATATCCTTCTGAAGAAGGAGTAGGTATACTCTTCACCTGCTGAAGGAGTTGGTATATGCTTCACCCGATTGAGTAGGCATATTCTTCTCTAGAGTAAGGAGGAAGTTTATTCTACATCCGGTGAAGGGATTGCTATATTCTTCACCCTGTGAAGGAGGAAGTACATTCTACATCTGATGAAGGGATTGCTAAATTCTTCACCCGATGAAGGAGTAAGTATATTCTGCACCTGATGAAGGAGTTAGTATATTCTTTACCAAAGGTGTAATTATATATATTTTTCTTCTGATAAAGGAAGAAGTATATTCTTCACTTGGTGAAGGTGTAAGTATACTCTTCAGCTCATGAGGGTGAAAGCAGTAAGTGTACTCTTCACTTAAGGAAGGTGTTGATATATTTTTTGCCCGATTCGGGAGCTTGTATGTTTTTCCACCTCATGAGCGTGTATTATCTTCTTCATCTGATGAAGGAGTAAGCATAAACGTTGCCCGTTGAAGGTGTGTGTATATTCGTTATCTGGAGGAGTATCGATATTCTTCACCTGCTGTGTAGTATGTATATTGTCCACCTGGTAAAAGGGTATGTATATTCTGCACCTGATGGAATATCTATATTCTGCACCTGATGGAAAAAGTGTTTTCTTCATCCAATGAAAGAGGAAGTATATTCTTCATCTGATGAAGGAGTAAGAATATTCCTTGAAAGGTCTTGCTCCACATATTACAGAAATTGACCAGACCTGTGTAGGGGATCGTGGGTTTTGGTCAATGTGTCACTCTACAGCTTGGACTGTAATGCAAATAGGCATCCAATGTCGACACTGTCAGATGGTATGTGTCCTCAGTAGAAACGTGAGTAACTACCATTTGTGCGAGACATTCAGAAAGTATCGCAAAGATACCTTTGAATGGTACATTTATTCTATTTTGGGATGAGCAAATGTTTGCAGTATCACAGTCTCAAACGTGTACAGTTTTCATATCAACATTTGTGTTGGAATAATCTGGTTCTTCGGAGTGATATAGTATGAAAATATATACTGTCCTACTCTAGAGCAATTGCCATCCTCGATAATCTCCAGGGTATACGTTACGATAAATCTCCACTATGCAATGGATGCATCTACGGCTACGTCCGATGATTTTATTACCTCCCTTTGTTGGCTTTTTATCCAATCAGATGTCTCACGCTGGGAAGTGAGGCGTACCAATCATAACTCACTTTTCGCTTCTTTTGTTTAACCGATTGAACTTGGTAACACAGTAATATATTGTTGCAGAGGTACTCTGAAATAGGTTGTTGATCACTGGATTGTCTGGCCCAGACTCGATTATTTATAGAGCCGCCATATAGATGGAATATTGCTGAGTGCGGGCGTAAAACTTAACTCACTCACTGAAATAGGTAGAAGGAGTTCTTGCATATATTTTGAAAGGTTTCAGACCTGTCAATTTGTCTGTATGATTTCCCCAAATGTGAGTCGACTCGCGAACAAACTTTCGTGACGCGACCATGGCGAGTTCGGATGTAACGGCAGCTTATCTGATTGGCTACTGTGAGAATGCGGAGCCAGCAAAGGGAGGTAATAACATCGGGCCATAGATGCATCCAGCGTATACCCTGGAGATTATCATCGAGGATGGAGCAAATGCATGTGAGCCGAGTTTCAGTGGAAGAACTCAGAGTAGCTGAGTCATGTCTCTTCTTTGAGAGTGAAAAGTATTAATAAACAGTATATTTATTGAATGTTTAACCTAATAAATACAAAGAGTCCTTTAACTCTCTGATTTTAATAAAGTTGATAACAAACCATACATTGTTGCTTCAGGCTCGGTTAGTGACCTTGACCTTGACATGTATAACGGACATACATCAGACGGGCCAGTCTGTTCCTGCTGATGTCACACCGAAAACCCTTCACCCTATTTCTTCACATAGGTGAGGTATACACTGATAAGAAGTAAATGACTGAAACCATTATGAATGGACACAGATATTTGACTACTTCTGGAAGCATGGACATTCTGGAATCACTAGACTATTTGTTTCCTAGCAGCACTACGTTTCAAAGCATTCGATGACAAATAATTTGTAGAAGAAAATATATTACCAATCTATCTGCAGGTAAGGCTCAATTCCATTAACTCTTTATACATGAACTTTCTATACTCATGCCAATCCCGTATGAGACGAAGCATACTCCTAATCAAACGTACGATGCCTGTACTGAGGAATGGTACAAGCCCTGTGTACTTTTGTCATTCTGAAACACAAAACCACGTACAACTATGCCTCCACAATGTTGTCACGGTAGTACTGTCCACCGACACGTCCGTGAAGAATAAAGATTACTGATTACTGAGACATCCACAAATCTTTCTGACATTAACGACATGAAAACACCCATTCCCTCCACGTCACACTCTGTCAAGGAAGTTCAAATTATAATTTAAATTTGATTCATCCGAAAACAAAAACGACTGGTCCAGTGCTGGACTTGACAGTAAAGATGTCTTGCAGTAATATGACGCTCCGCCAATCATGGCATCACACGTGGACATCGGGCATGCAGGTGGTTCTGTGGAGCCAATTACAAATCGTCTGTCCACTCACTAAGACGCCTCTACTTGTCGCCCTCAGTCGACCAGATTAACATTTGTCATCAGCATTTTTTCTGTGTCGTGATTGCAATCTGATAATTACATACTGTGAAACAAAGAGAGCTCATGCCACAACGCTTTGTCTTGATCCGACTTTCTACATGAACACTGTGTGTAGCAGTTCCTGATATGACAGAATTCGCACGTCAAAAAACGTTTAACTGTGTTTAAAACCAAATTCAGTCAGTTTGCGAATCCTCATGTGTTTCTGAAGGTCACCTGATTGTGTAAATTTCCAACCAGATTGAACACATTCACATGACTTGATTCGTGTGTGCATCTTCATGTGGCTCTGCAGTGTATTTGAATGTCTAAATGTTTTTCCACATTCAACACATTCATAAGGCTTGATTCCACTGTGAATCCTCATGTGTGACTGCAAATAACCTGATCGTGCAAATGTTTTCCCACATGCAACACAATCATAAGGCTTACTTCCTGTGTGAATCCTCATGTGTTTCTGCAAGGAAGTTGATTGTATAAATGCTTTCTCACACACAATGCACTGATAAGGTTTGATTCCACTGTGAATCATCATGTGTCTCTGCAGATTACCTGATTGTGTAAATCTCTTCCCACATTCAACACATGCATAAGGTTTTACTCCACTGTGAATCCTCATGTGTTTCTGAAGATTACCCCGATAGTGTAAATGTTTTCTGACATTCATCACACTGATAAGGCTTGATTCCACTATGAAGTAGCATGTGCTTTTTCAAGTCACCTGACATTTTATTCCTAAACTCACTACATGTATGAGATTGCTGTGCTGGACCACTATTTTTTTTCATGATTTTCAAAACCACCAGTTTCCGTGGTTCCAATAATGGGTTCTTTCATCAGATCACCAGTTTCCATGGTTCCCATAATGGGTTCTTTCATCAGATCACCAGTTTCCATGGTTCCAATAATGGGTTCTTTCATCAGATCATCTGTTTCCATGGTTCCAATAATGGGTTCTTTCTTCAAATCACCAGTTTCCATGGTTCCAATAACGGATTCTTTCATGAGATCACCAGTTTCTTGGGTTCTAATAATGTGACCACTATGCATGATTGCTGGACCACTATGTTTTCATGATTTTCAAAACCACCTATTTCCAGGGTTTCTGTAATGGGTTCTTTCTTGAAATCATCTGTTTCAAGGGTTGCATAAATGGGTTCTTTCATCATCAGATCACCAGTTTCCATGGTTCCCATAACCGATGCTTTCATCAGATCACCAGCTTCTAGGGTTCTAATAAAGTGTTTTGTCATGATACCACCAGTATCCAGGGTTCCATTAATGGGTTCTTCCTTGATATCACCTGTTTCCATGGTGCCAATGAAACATTCTTTCTTGAGATCTCCTATTTCCAGTAAACCCCTTTAACAGAGTTCATTTGTTTCAGTGACCGGCAAAAGATTCTGTAGATTGCCTTCAACTTCCATCATTAACCTGTTGAAGTTATGGTGTTTACTGAAAACATAAGAAACGTTATGTCACACTCTTATAACAATTAGGGTAGGGACCAGACACAATATGATGGTATGACACGTAGCATGATAACAAACTTGATACTGCATAAATGTCTTCCTACACATACAACACACTATAAACAACTTAGCGGAGTGATTTTCAAAATCCGGTATGGAAAATGACAATGGTGGGATGTATACTGGACAAAAATAATTAGGGATATATGTAAATTTTGAAATTATGAATAATAAACTATTTATTCATTGACACACTGATAAGATATCAATCATAAAAATACCAATATCCCGAACTTATTTTGTCCAGTATATAATTAACATCTTTGTTGCCTCACAATGAATTATACTCAGCTGATACTTATACCATACTTTTACTTATGTTACATATCTAAGGGGGGTGATGAGTTCATCATCCCGTCAAAATAAAAAACAAAAAAAAACCCCACAAATAGATGTCCTGCAAAGCGGTGTACAGGTGATATACATCATTGTGTAAAATTGGTTAAAACCAATGAATATTTTTTATCATCATTCCATTTAGCCCCAATATTTTCAAAAGTACACCCATAGAAAAACACTGCATTGAAATAATTCAAATATGTCTTCATGTGAACATAATCAGATCTATATTTGATCAATTTAATTACGTAATAATATTGCATGTACAAAATTAATGCCTTTCCATATATATATATATCATTTAGATGGCACATATCATAAGGAGTGACACACCCTATCATTAAACACCTGGGGTGCCTTTAGATCCAGCAACAGAAGATTTCGTTGGGAGACAAGTTTGAACCATGTTTTTCAATGACCTGTATGGTTGTCTTTGTAACAAAATGCCAGGATAACATCGCCTTGATCGGGACAAAAAATATATAAATACACAATTTATATTTGTGCTTCCTACTGGATATGGAAAGACGTTGTGGTGGGAAATTCTGTCATATCATTCTAGACCTCTTTCAGATATATGATGTTTACAATAACCATATTCATGGCCATTCAGTTATGTGCATTATGTATACGAGTGTGTGACAAAAGGGAGTCGACATGTGTGAACACATATAACGCTGTTGAATTGTTGGTACACGTGCATTGCACCAGACACCTACCTACCATACTGGATAAGGTCCCACACCCTAAACGCCTCAGGTAAGAATGCATCCTACCAATTGCCCTTTATTCGCAGCTTCGGTTAATTTATTGTATTTTTAAGGATTATTTTGAGGGGTTTAGGGTTAATATTGTAGGTAGGTGTCGGTGCAATGAATGTGAACCGACTCTCAAAATAATCCTAAAAAATAACATAAAATGATTGAAACTGGGGTTTAGGGTCAGCTAGGGACTTATCCAATATGGTAGGTAGGTGTCCGGTGTAATGTATATGTACCATCCGTCAAAATAATCTTAAAAAATAACATAAACTGACTGAAGCTGTGAATAACTGAATATGGCGGAAAGGGTCCTGTGTAATGCATTTTCCGCTGGGTATCCTTAATCTGAATGATGAATGACAGCGAATGACGAATGTATTTTTGCACAATGAAGTCTCCCTTGTCATTCGTTATTCTTCAGTTAAATTATCCGTAGTATCACCTTCAGTAAATGGAATGACAAAGATATGAGGTAGAATGACAGAAAACACTGTCATTCTACTTTATATCACTGTCATTCCATTTTCTGAGGGTGATATTACTGATAACTTTACAGAAAACACAGTCATTCTACTTCATATCACTGTCATTCCATTTACTGAGGGTGATATTACTGATAACTTTACAGAAAACACTGTCATTCTACTTCATATCACTGTCATTCCATTTACTGAAGGTGATACTATCGATAGCTTAGCTGAAGAAAAACGAATGACAAGGGAGAACTCATTGTGCAAAAATACATTTGTCATTCAGAATTGGGAGAACTTTCTCCGCCGCAGTACGTACTATGCGTAAGGTAGTTCCGGATCACTAACGAAACAACGACTGCATGTGCCTACGCGAAAAGATGTCTTAAGAGCCTAAAGGCAATTTCTGTCTTAGCAATGTTTCATGTTACTCACATCAAAATATGAAATCGATACGATCCTGATTTATTATAGAAAACTGGGAAAAGAAAAGCTGCGCCATTACGGCAGTTGCGAATCATTTCAGGGTATTCCGGATCACGTGACAAAACGAGGCAGTGTTTGGTTACTGGTGCATGTTTGGGGCCAGAAGGGGCTGTGTCAAACAGTAACGCGTGTTTAATTGAACAGATGCATGAACAATATTTATAATGGAGTCTCATTTACGAATAACAAACACTGCAGTTGATAACAGCACCTGCTAGGTAGATAGTTTTAACACTTGCTGCTCATTACAACACACACACATATTCCAGTATCAGGATTCCAGTTACCAACGTGGGCTAAAAATATTCTCTTGGGGTTTATACATACGTGGTTTAAGGTAATGGTATCTTCGATAGTCATATTCAGAAGTTAATCATACTAAGGGGTCGTAGTGTTTGTGGCTGATGAATTAGGTAAAATTCACTAGACGCAGATCTGTTGTGTATCTAATGTACTATTTTAATATTTTGACGTGGCTTTGACATGCGACTTTAACTTGTAAATTACAACTATCAACACAAAATAATCCATTTTCTTTCACAAACTGTAATGCTTTTATTCAGTTAATATGAGCTATTTATTATCGTGAGTTACTGAGAGTAATAATAATAAATTAATACTAACATATTTGAACTCTCTATGTGTGTGTATGTTCATATGTCCTAAAAAGAAACAAACTCGTGTCTATTCCAGTCTCATTGATTCCACCGCTGGCATAAGTAACAGGGCATTTTTAGTTGTCATAAAGCCCAGTCTCTGTAGCCGTGGTTAATCACGTAATGACAAGCATGACCACTCCTCCTCCTTTCTCTGCTGGTGCAGGCCAAGGGAGAGAACTTGGAACAGGTTCTCCAGCTGCTCAGCGAACACACTGTCACACATCAAGAATTCGCCTGAATGACCCTGCAAGACCTCTTAGCACATGACCAATGGGTAGACCAGCTACATCCTTAAGTACAAGATTACGCTTCACATCTGTAACCAAATTATGCATATCTACTGGAAAGGTTTCAGTTGAGGGTATCCAGACCAGACATGCATTTAGGTCATGAATATTTGTCTGTTCCCTGTCCACTGTAAGAGAAGTCACGGGATCTGTTAACGGGGTTCTAATTTTAAACTTATGATAGCCCTTGATCACACAGTTTTGAAGTCTTATTGGCTGCCTTGAAGGTGCATGATAAGATGCTGCCGGTCTTAGTGATTGAGACAGTAATGGACGGACAGGTACTGCAGCAGAGTCTTGTCTTAATGGTTGTGATGAAGACCCCACAGGAGTAACCTAGATACAAAGGAATATTGCTTGACTAAGATCAAAGGAGAGAAATGTAAAATTAATGCGTTTAGGCACACTTGTCTTGTTTAAATGCCTTGTCATGAGAACGCGATGACACGTTTCAAACATGCAGTCTCTGGGTGATGTAAATTACTTGCAAAACTTATTTTGACAACATGTAATGACGATACATACATTTATGGAATAGGTTTGAATGTCAAGTTAAAATGTACTCCAAGCGTTGTAAATAATACAAGGCCTACTTCTAGTCGGAAAAAAACAATGCACAATCCCTTCTTTTAGAAATACGTATTAGTGAAAGTTATGTAATGTTTCTCTTTGTAAAGGATCTAATATAGTGTCAATGTGATATACCTAGTGTTTAGTACGATTCTCACACAAAGGACACATGAAATGATCATCAGCTGAAACATTGGGATGAGTTGAGCAGTGTGAATGTATCCATCCCTTGCAAGAAACACATTCCACCCAAACGTGACTGTATTGAGCTATACTGTATCTGTACTGTATATGTATACTGTAGCTATGTTTGTATCATACAAAAATACATAAAGTTATTAAACAAAAGAATTATATGAGTTGGAAAGAACAATCTTTTCAACACCTAAGCGTTGTGAAGTTGGTTATTTTCAAGTATTGATAACCCTTTACCTTGCATACTCTTATGTACAGCAAATTGCGAAACAGGTGAAATGAAGATTAACAAATGTTACGTATCTACTTTGTGCAAATTACATCCTCCACAGACCCTAAAGTAAGTATATGTTTTAAATAAAAGGAACCGATGTAACATCGTAAAAATAATTACTTTATTTCAACAGTTATTAACATTTGTCGGCAGTTGAAGGTTTTGAGATGATCCCTATATTCTGGTGATCCGGAACTGACTTAACCACGTGGTCCCATAAATTGCTTATTTCTCTAGAAATATGGCAGATGTAAATAATATTTTTGTTGCTTTATAAAGGTGAAATGTACATGTATGCAATGGAATGTTAACATTTAGCAACTTGATTCTGTTGTTATGTCACACGGGCAGTCCCGAATGAGTTACCTTTTCCTGACGTGCCAACGACAGATGACGCGATGATAGGTGTCCTCGTTACAGGGCGCGCAAGTAAACTTCCGGTTCAGACCAAGTGAAACAAAATATCCTTGTGTATTCGGTTTTCGGTCATGTAAGGATTGTCGACCAACGTAACATAAAATGCATAAATAAATCGATAATAAACAAACCTACTTCGTTTGTTTGTTATTTATTTATGATATTCAAATATCTGACGGATTAACCTCGTGTTTCACCCGCACAGCAGGCCTCGTAGTTCGCTACGCAAAGATCCTGAATGCGGAAGTGACGTCATCAGTTTTCGTTCACTTCATTGGTTCTCCGTAAAACACGAATGTAATCGCAGTATTCGTGCTATGCTGATATTTTTATAATATAAAGTTAATAAACATCCAGTCCAAAAAGAATATTTGTAATAGTTCCAATAATAATTATTAGAAACTATGGTCGTTATAATTTCATGTCAAAGTTAATCATGATAAGACTTCGCTAGTTACATCACATGTCCAGGCATGTTTCACTCTCCTCCGGTTCAAAGCTGACAAAGGGCACCAAAACTCATCAGAAGATCTCACTACACATACGGAGGTGCACAGCTTGAGGTGGACCCAATGACAGCATGCAGGATGAGTACACTGGGCCCATGACACAGAAATATATCAATTGCAGTTTCGAAAATTAAATGAGTATTTTGGAAAATCGTAATAAGAGATGACCCTATCCAGTTTCCCATATATTTTTTTACGACGGCAACGCCACGTGATATGTCATGGGATAATAATACGTCATACTATAAACAAGCAGACGACGCTATACTGAAAAGGTGGAGCTGACGCTATTTTAGATATAGCATTTTTGATTACATGAAAATTTATGCATTAGTAAACTCGGTTCTAAAACGTAACATTTACGTGTGTTTGCAATCATGTACCTTACCAAATTTCACACGAAGCATTTTGTTAGTCAGAGCTGAAGCAGTCGACATCCTGCTAAAAAATAACCTGTCTGGTGACGTAAAATCTCGTTAATAACCGCGAGAAATGAACACGCAAACTGCCGACCGAAAACAGATGTTGAACGAAAACAGATGACTCGAGGATATATCATTTTGAAGAACACTGTCACGGCTTTAAAATAACACATTGAGTGTATAAATCCATTGAGGTTTACGGTTTCTAGGTGTTAATGTACGTGGAAGTGGTCCGGAATACCCGTGATCCGGAATACCCTTACCCGCTGTATCTCTGTTTACATTTCGCCTTTGTACTGACTTCCGTCCGTCGAAACAGTGAAAAATGACGCTTTCCGTCACTGAATGTAACAATCGGCGTTGTTGTCGCGATGAATAAACGCCTGTGTCAATAGTTCTTTTCTTCTTCTTATATTTAGTAAATATATGGCTGATACAACGACGTTGTCAGGAGGAAGCAGCTAATTCGACCCGAATTATTGCGAATAAGCATTGTCGACAGTGGACAGGTGGAGATAGCGAACGGTAACATGGACATAACGATCACCAACAAAGGAGACACTTCATAGAGTAGATGTTACTGAATGCTCTACCTTCGAAGGCATTCCATTTGTAATCGGTTGCATTTACTTACGTTCAAGTGCCACCACAATGCAGCGATGTACGACCTCTCGGCTTCGGGGTGAAACTATAGTATACAATGTACAACTACCAGTGTTTCCATTGCGAGCGAGGCTGTAGCTATTTTTAGAAGAGAATAGTTTCCTGCCTCTCTCTTCAGCGACCTGGTACCTTGGCGGCTCCCTAATAGTTAGCGAAATCAGTGTAGCGCCAGCGCAGAATACCCAGGGGTATAGGCTGACAACACTCCGGCGCAGTGATGACTGCATAATATCACTGCGATAGGCTAATTTTGCATATCACGTGACCGGACTTTTCTCTTATTTGTAAACAAACGAGCATATTCGTAAATAGGAAAAGACTGCGATTCGGCGCAGTCTGCATAATGTTTTATTTTGTCAAATAATACACTGCCGCCTTAGATTGGGATGCAGTGACTTAAACAGTGATAAGTATAATCGTTTCATTTCTGATAATGCTTCAGTCAGTTTATGTTATTTTTTAAGATTATTTTGACGGATGGTACATATACATTACACCGGACACCTACCTACCATATTGGATAAGTCCCTAGCTGACCCTAAACCCCAGTTTCAGTCATTTTATGTTATTTTTTAGGATTATTTTGAGAGTCGGTTCACATTCATTGCACCCGACACCTACCTACAATATTAACCCTAAACCCCTCAAAATAATCCTTAAAAATACAATAAATTAACCGAAGCTGCGAATAAAGGGCAATTGGTAGGATGCATTCTTACCTGAGGCGTTTAGGGTGTGGGACCTTATCCAGTATGGTAGGTAGGTGTCTGGTGCAATGCACGTGTACCAACAATTCAACAGCGTTATATGTGTTCACACATGTCGACTCCCGTTTGTCACACACTCGTATACATAATGCACATAACTGAATGGCCATGAATATGGTTATTGTAAACATCATATATCTGAAAGAGGTCTAGAATGATATGACAGAATTTCCCACCACAACGTCTTTCCATATCCAGTAGGAAGCACAAATATAAATTGTGTATTTATATATTTTTTGTCCCGATCAAGGCGATGTTATCCTGGCATTTTGTTACAAAGACAACCATACAGGTCATTGAAAAACATGGTTCAAACTTGTCTGATAAGTATAATCGTTTCATTTCTGATAATGCTTCTTGTTCCTGCTCACAAGATTATGAAGATGTATTCCACTATTTTTTCATGTGTCCTAAATATAATACCATTCGATACGAATCGTATTTCTATGGGAAAGGTTTCTCCCTGCGGGATGTGCTAAATGGCAATAACTCAGTATCTCATCAGACGAATATGGATATTCTACGGTCAGTCCATCAATTGATTATTACATCAAAACGTTTTGATTCATAAAGTTTTGTAGCTTCTCTTCTTTTTTATTTGTATCAACTGGCCACGAAACAAAACCAAGATAAATTGTTGATATCCATGATTGTTATTATTCAGAGATAACTTGTTATAACCACTATAAATATGTACAACATTATGCACAAATGTGAACCTTCACATGTATTATGGAGCGGCATTAATATAAGCCATTTAGGCTTGTTTGCCAATCCTTTTCTTTCTTCTTGAGTAGAATAAAATATGTTTAAACGACATATTTATATATCAGAGACTGAGTGGGGTTGCATCGATTGCTCTCCGTCGGCTTCGATGCACGTGGAGCCGTCAAATACATGTAAACAAAGGATCGCTACGCAAATCAAAATAGTGTTACACCTTTTAGGATATTTTCTCAGTGAAACAAAACAATGATATTTGATTACATGTGCAGACTCACCAAACATAAAAGAGTTAAGATGATATTATAGATTATATTGAATGGACTGTGTAAGATGTGACGAATCGTCACATCTTTCTTGTCTGTGGCAGAGGTACAATCATTGGTGGCCGCATGGAACTCTGGGTAGGAGAGCGTAGGCTGACACCTCAACAGAGACCGGGGGCCAGTCTGTTTTCACTGTGACTGCACTTTGCCTCAAAACATGGTTCAAAAATCACTTGTCACCAAATCAATATTATGACACAATATAGATTTAAAAAGTTAGCATATATATTTCATGTATTCGTATTGCTGAAGGGGTCGTTGTCGGTATGGGTACTACATGGGTACTGTATACAGAAAAGTACCCTAGCCAAAATCGGAATACTGAAACATACCCTAGGACGATTGCATTCCCATTGTGTCGTATTCTTGACCGGAACTGTCATGCTGTTGTATTAGATACATTTGATTGCGTTATGTAAGTAATGAGAATACGCAGTAACGAATATTTCGCGATGCACATGAATACCACTCGGAATCAGTTGAACGGGAACAACTACATACGGTTTCGGTTTTGGATGTCGGAATATGGACTCGTCCGCCGTTAGGGGTACCCGGTACTTTTCTGTATTTTGACTTTGTTTAGAGTACATTTCTGTATACAAAAACGGACCTGGGGTACATAATGTAGTACCTGTGCCGACAAGGACCCCTTCAGCATTAGTACTGTTACGAATGTAACCTGTATTAATTCCTTGTCTTTATATTGTTATTTTTGGTAATTAGGAATTTATCTTTAGGGGATAACTGTACTGTGTTTGACGAACTGGGGACGTATACCGTTGGTTATATCGCCGATAAAAAGTTAAATTTGCGGCTATATAACCACCGGTATACGCCCCCAATTCGGCAAACACAGTACATTTAACATTATTCTAATTCAACTCATTTTACGCTTTTTCGTGAAAGAAATTCTTTATGTAAACCAGTTCAAAGCTCCTCCAGATCAAAAGGCTAATAATATCACTCTTTGAACACCATCGCGAGAAAAAGTAGGCTCCTTTTTAAACTTCAACAGACTGGATAACAAGTAAAAAATCACAATAAAAAGGCTAACGTTTATTATGTGTACACTGACTAAATCTGACAATAATGAATGAATCACAGTGTTATAGATAAGATAGACGGAATTATCATGAAACCGCCCTCCTGTTATCAAAAATGATTCCTGGGTGCCACAGAGACACGTATGTCCTTCCTCTTCAACCCTCACTTTGAAGTCCAATAAAAATAAAAATATCCCCAACGCACACAAATACACTTCACAGTTTCGCATTCTGTGGGAAATTTCCTGTTTCTTGATACCATCCACTATTATTTTAGAGAAAGTTAAAGTTCTGAAGAAAATGTCGCCATTTTTGACAAAATACGAAATCGCGATTCACAGCGTTATTTGCTGCATGTTTTGAAATGTGAAAATCGGATAATTACTGGGAGTATTGTATTTCAAATATAACATATTAATGATCACTGATATTAGTTTTTCATGAAATCACTTATGATAATTCTGAAACGATGGCGATGAACATAGAATCGGTTGGGATGTTTTCGAAAATACATTTACACGAACGCCGAAGTGCGCTTTCCGCCATATTTGATAGTGTTTACAAAATCAAGTTTTGCAAAGGCCGGTGTTGAGACGCCTATTACATCACGTATATTTCATATTCAGCTTCGATGCATCACTGAATTCCCCATACATTTTAGAATCAAATTGCAACTGGTCTTTGTCACCAATACCAACTGTCTAGTATCCAGGGAAGAATATCAGGATCCCAGCTGGCCCCACTTAATGCAACTTGCTTAACACTCGCACTGGTCAGTGAGATACCATTGCATCACAGTAATGGGATATAAAGGATTCCAGCTGGCCCCACAAGTGTGGAGTTGAACCCGCGTCTTCAGCATGACGAGCGAGCGCTTTAAAGGGGCACTGATCCAGAGCAATTTCCGTCGACTGGTTGTTGCTTTTGTTATTTTTTTTCTCCAGTGAGTACCCGGATGATATCCTAGAATTCATGATATCTACACATCTTATAGATTGCCAACGAGTATCATATTTCACACACACACACACACACCTAAGTGCGACCTAGTGTATGTTGTCTGTCTCATTACACTTCACGGCAAAAAAAAAAGATTCTGTTACATGCCATAACAAATAAATAAAACAAAATGCAAATATTAAAATTAAAAAAGACTAAAGTTATATCAACAATATCAGGCTATTCCCTTGTTCTGGGTATGTATCCATCAATATCCACATAAAGGAATGAGATGCCATTCATCTGCAGCTGATAAAGTATCCTGTTCCATGTCATGTGTCTTGTAACAGTCTAATATGCGAAAAAGTGATCTATCGTTTCAGGTTTTCCACATTGGTGTATAGTCCCATTGGTCACCCAAGATAGCACGAATGGCAACTAATTGCATGATGCCCGCCATTCTTTAAAAAAGTTAGACAATAGTTGGTGTCTGCACAGGACGTCGACCCTTGGGTGAAATGTCACGGTTCAGTTAAGAAAAAAGGTCGACGTCCTGTCCATTTGACCATATACCAATTAACAGGGGATTAGAAAAGACAAAGAAATAATCCAGTGTTTTCACAAGGCGATAATCCAGATTATGCGGTTGAGAACACAGACAACAGGAGAAAAGTACTATAATTCGTCCATTTTATTTCGTATACAAAATCATCCAACATGAAGTAGGTGAGATGCACCATTTGCAAACTGGTTCATTTGAAAGATAGTAAAAGTAGATTTATTATTTCTTTTTACACATTCTTTTACACAGACCACGTTACACCAATCTACTGCTATATATAAATTGTTAGAATTGTTAACAAAATCTATTAAACGATATGCAAAACATGGTCACGTACATTATTCAGATTTGATATATCTATTTTACTTTTATATTTTCCTTAGTAACAGATTGAAATCAGGCATTGACAAGATGCTTACCTTTATGTCTACTTGGACACAGGGATGAGCATGGTCACCTTTCACCATCGTCACAATGTCATTGACAGTTGACGCAGTGAAATTACACCTCTTTTCTGTGCACTTCCAGGATATCCAATTTCGCTTCACTCATAAATCCACCAACACACAGGTATCTTCCACCACGAGATGTAACTGTGTATTTGCCATGTCGAAATTGAATGCAATCTACCGCGTGTTCCTTCCTTAAATATGTTCATCATTGTGAATTCACTCTCATATGTATGATAACATTGATGACATTTGAGTGAACTATGTTCACGCCTTACACGATGCTCCGGTTATGGAAAATCTTAAAACAACACCTACTAGCGGATTAGCGTGACTCTAGCAACGCCTTCAACATCAAAGTTTACTGCGGGTCGACTTCGTGTCCATAAACCCAATAGTTAGTTAGCCAATAAGGAGCAATCAAACAATGTATTGGCGGTTAATCCTTTGAAGGAAGCACTTTATTTTTACAAAGAGACTTTACGACAGGGTGTATTCGGTATATATTAGTAAATCTACATACATAAACACTACCTTTAGATAAATCCGCTGTGCAGGATGAAAGCAATTAATCAATCAGCGTGTTATCGGTTAATCCTTTGATCGATGTTTGTTTTGTAACTCAGCTGGTAATTCCTCTTACTGCACTTCCATGCGCATATTACATAACATGTAATACATTTGCCACATCAGACCTCAATTTATAATGTTGAGTATTTACTCCAGACACAAGAAATGCCACATGGGAACCTTTGTCAGGTAATCTGAGTGGTGTTATCACTAATTGTACCTGTTATAAATTCATTAACTGACTATCAAGTGAATGATGACAAATAACGTGTAGGTTTACCACCAAACAAGGGTTTGTGGAAAAATTTGCATCTGTAGTTTGTTTGATATTAATTATAGATTGTATTGTATTATATTTTATGGAGCGGCACTCACATAAGTCGTTGGCTTGTTGTGACAGTCCATACTCATGTCATGTTAATATTTCATGAATAAAATATGTTTATATCAAAATATGTCAGATTAAAAGATAAAGATGAGTTAATAATAATAATAATAATAATAATGCACATTTATAATGCGCCTTTTCCACGCCCTTGGGTATGCTCAAAGCGCTACAAAGATGAAGATGGGTGAAGTTATGAGAAGTATACTGAGAAAAGGTGGGTTTTCAGTTTTGCTTTAAAACTATCAAAACTGTCAGAGTCTTTGATGTCATATGGAAGAACATTCCAGAGGACCGGTGCTGTGTAGGAGAAGCTGCGGTGTCCGAAAGATTTCAGTTTGTAGGAGGGTATCACAAGAAGATTCTGAGAGTTGGAACGGAGACTGCGGGCAGGTACATATGGGTGAAGCAGGTCAGAGAGGTAGGAAGGGGCCAAGCCATGGAGACATTTGTACGTCAGGGGAGAGAATTAAAAATTAATGAAAAATTGTGACTCCAGAATGCATTTCTTTCCAAGATATTTGTTTTGCTACTGATGAAGGAATAAGTATATTGTTTTCATCATGAAGGAGTAGGTATACTCTTCAGCTGATGAAAGAGTAAGTATATTCTTCACCCGATAAAGGAATAAATATATTCATCACTTGATAAAGGATTAACATTATTCTTCAACTGATGAAGGAGAAAGTACTAGTATATCCATCATTCAATGAAAATGTAATCATATATATTCTTCACCCGATGAGTACATTTTTCAGCTCATAAGAATGTAGGTATATTATCCACCTGATGAAGGAATAAGCTTCACCCGATGAATGAGTCGGTATATTCTACAATCTGAGGAAGGAGTAAGTATATTCATCAACTGATAAAGGAGTAAACATATTCTTCAACTGATGACGGAGTAAGTATATATATTCATCACCCAGCGAAGATTTAATTATATATATTCTTCACCTGGTGAAGGAGAAAGTATATTCATTATTCTATGAAGGTGAAAATACAAATATTGTTCACCTAATGAAGCCATGAGTGTACTATTCAAATAATGAAGGTGCTAATATATCTTTCTCCTGGTGAAGGAAGATGTATATTCTACACCTGACGAAGGACTACGTATATTCTTCACCTGATGAAGGAGTATGTATGTTCTTCACCTGATGAAGGAGTAAGTATACTCCTCAAATAAAAAAGAAACTTGACATAGGAACAATTTGAATTTTAGGAAAACGTAACGTTACACCTACGTTTGAAGTGAATCGCTAAAACTCAACCAACATGGAATGCAAAGTGCATCAAGAGATTGTGTATTAGCCAGAGCTGAAGCCTATGACTGTAGTTTTTAAGAAGACACATGAATTGCTTTAAGCCACAACAAAATGCCAAGACCGATAGAAGCTCAACGACACAACGCCATCGGCCGTTTACAAGGATGGGCATCGCAACATGAGGTGGCAAGGCACTTCGGCTGGTCCAGACCAACCATCTCAAACCTATGGACCTGATACGATAATACTGGAAGTGTGTGTTTTGGTTGTGTTTTTTATATATATATATATACTACTCAAAACAAGTTAAGAGTCATGCGATGTCATAATGTAATGTTATTGATGAGGCTGGTTGCATTATACATGAATGAAATGTTACATTCCGTGTATGGTAGTTTATTCAAAACCATTGCAGGACATGGATAAAGGCTGCAGATAACCGTGGTGCCAATAGCCATCATGTGGTAGGGTGTTAAAAAAATGAACAAATTGAAACATCGAGTGCTTCACAGAAGCGCCACCACTGTGCTTATGGAAGATGATGTTTCATCATGAACAGCATTTGCACATGTTCTTCGTGGGATTAGTGCTGTGCATGCTTATTTTCCCTATAAAACTTGTAATTGTCGCATTGCTATTGTCACTTGAAATTCAACAATGACAAGACGTCAACTGAGCATAACAGACAGAGGAAGAGCTCTAGCTTGGCTTCCAGATGGTGAACCTCAACGCAGTGTGGCTCAGAGACTAGATGTGAGTCAGAGTGTCATAGGAAGGTAATGGCAACGGTTTCGTGTCACTGCAACGCTGAATAATCGACCACGTTCTGGCAGGCCTCCATCAACTGCGTGACCAACTGAGAGCTGCCACAGGTACCCTGGTATCTGATCAGACTGTCAGGAACCGACTGAGGAGGAACAATCTTCGGGCACGGCGACCAGCAGTACGACCACCACGCATTCAGCGAGACGGATGGCAAGACGTGACTCTTGTAGACGCCATGTTCGTTGGCAATGTGCTCAGTGGGCATCAGTTCTTTTCTCCGACGAGTCTAGGTTTACTCTACAGTTTAATGATGGTAGGACTTGTGTGTATCGGCGTCCAGGAGAGAGGTTTGCTGACGTTAACGTCAACCAACGTTTGCCATTGGGTGGCGGGTGTATCATGGTTTGGGGTGCGTTTTCCTTTCATCAAAGGACACCTCTCTGTGTCATTAATGGTAACCTGACCGGAAATCGCTATCTACGGGAGATTATCAGACCCCTTGTTTTGCCACGTTTACAACGTATCGGCGTCGGATCCATATTCCAAAATGACAATGCCTGACCACACCGTGCCCGTGTTGTGACGGACTTCCTTAGACAGTGCAATGTTCAGCACATGGAATACCCGGCATATTCATCAGATTTAGCCCTTATGGAACATGCTTGGGACGAGTTAGGACGTCGGCTTCGTAACATCCACGCCCCTCCAAACAACCACGCAGAACTGGCCCAGCATCTCATTGCAGAATGACAGGCAATACCCCAAGCCTTCTTCCAACGTCTGGTGAACAGGATGAGACAGAGGTGCACAGCTTGTCTTAATGCTCGAGATGGTTACATGTTGGCGTTTGAATTGTCACTTCTGACAGTAGGTCACTTTGACCTTATTGATCAGCCATAACTGACATTCCTGCTGTTTTTGTCTCCCGTTATGGTTGTCATGAAATGTGGGCTCGAGTTGTTATATGATCACTACGTTTCACTGTTATTTATATTTGTAGTTATGGCCATTAAAAGTTTTGACCCTTAACTTGTTTTGAGTAGTATATATATTTTTATTTCCACTTCGTGTTATACATGTTTTATATATGATGCTTTCCAGACATTGATAGCTTCTATTTCAAGTTAAACATCTATACATTGTCCAACATGCCACACATACATACATATACATATATATGACATTTTCTATACATTGTCGAAAGTACCAACTTCAGTTACCAGTACATATTATAACATCTTGTCCATACAATGTTTTCCATATAATTGTCAAAAGAACAAACATCTACTTCCACAACATGTTAAACATGTTATATGTTCAACGTTATCCCACATTGTCAAAAAATATAAGCATCAATTACCGCTTCATGCTAAACATGTTGTATATACAACGTTCTCAATATATTGTCGAGAGGATATATATCAATGGCTATTGATACAGGTATACACGCCATAATTGTAGGTTAATATCCACAGATATACTGAACATCATTGAAAACGCACCACTTATAAAAGTTTTGATTATTAAAAGCACGTGTAAGGAATTGATATTTTTTGAGTCGATAATAACAGATGGACTACTGACAAAAACAACAACACAGAAAAGACGCTCATTAATTGAAATGTTCCACAGTCAGAAAGGATCAAACACACGTGGGGTCAAATCGAAAAGTCAATATCGCGTGTCACCGCCATTTGCATTGACACATGCAGTTCAACGTCTCCTCATTGAGTCAATAAGCGTCCGATTAGAGTTCTTGAGGATGGCATTCCACTTCTGCAGTAGTGCA